ACACACATCTCAAACCGTGTGTTGAGGCTATGCCTGGGGGAGAGCCCACCAGCCCATTAGAAGGCAGGGTCCCCCGTGAATTCAAGGGAGGCTTCTGGGTTGTGGTTAGTTTGTTGTTTGTTTTGAGAAGGTGGGAAAGACATCTTTTACAAGGAGAAAGTAGATTGGAAGAGAGTTTGAAAAAGTCACAGCACTGAGAAGATATGCCATTCAGTTTTGTGACATTCAACAGGGCCAGATTAAGCAAAGAAAGTGAGACACTTTCCAGGGGCATAATGTAAGGGATGCCAAAAACCCAGTAATCAAGATAAACAGTAATCTAATACAATATTTTTAAATTGAAGATTGATGCCAAGAAACCACATGAGCAAAACATCAAAATTTAAATAGAGAACAAAACAGTAAGGTTCTTTTAAAAGAGGGGGAGGGGTCTGTGTCACATCTGTGCTTGCATCTTCTGATCCCATTTTCACTTTAGATCTAGGAAAGTAACCAGAGTAAATTAGCGCTGAGGACTTATCCTTGCTCTCGTCCTTGTCATAGCCACATCTGCATTTGGCAAACGTTCTGAACAAGGATATTCAGGAATAAGCAATACAGCCTTGGTATCATAAGGGTAGATACGCCAGTGAGAGGATATGAGGCTATCTATCTGGCTTCCATTTTCCAAGACCAGACTGAGCAGAAATTCTCAGAGATGACTCCAGGAAAGTTGGTGTCCTGGAAAGAAATATTACCCCGAAAAATTTTACTTAGACTATTTCTTTAAAATAATTACCATTCAAGCAGCCATAAAGCATTGGCCTGCATTGTTTTCCTCTAAAAAGAAGAGATGACTCTACCTTCTACTGTGAGTTAATTTCCTGGAAGCACAGTTCTCTCCAATGATGCCACCCCTCACTCAGAAACCTTGCATTGCTCCCAACTGCCCAAAGCTTAAATTCATATTTCAAAGCCCAGCAATCAACTGCCTTACTTAATACATTAATTCCCACCATTCAGCCTCACTCCCTTCTCCACCTCCATGCCAGAGACCCTGTCCCTTTCCTCAACCCACCTTGCTAGTCTCCCTGCTATACTGAGGCAGGACTGTTCCTCAGGACCAGGAAAATCCTCTCTCTCCTGTTCCATCTCATCTTTCCTTTTCTAAGTCATACATTCTTCGAATCTCAATCCTAAAGCTGCCTTCTTGGAGCTCTGGTGAGTGCCAAATTATAAGACAAATTAAAGTTAACAAGAAATAATTCCAAGTCACTTTTGCATTTCAGTATAACCCCAAATTAACCAAAACACTTAATTTATCCCAAATGCCCCATTGTTAAAGCAGACTGATTACTTCCCATCTGCCCTCAGGAACAGTACCACTGGGGAAAAGGAAAAGAAAACCTGGAAAAGATAGTTTCTTTTCCTCACTCACTCTTCCTGGAACAGAGTAGGTATTCGATATAGGAATAAACCAGCACATACAGCATCCAGTAAAAATAATGTCTGGACAACAGCCCTTTTAATAGCCACAGATGAATATTCTCGGGAACCTGAAGACAGCACCATGGAAACACACCACTCCTGGCCAGAATGAGGGCGTACAGAAAATTCCATGTGGACCCCTGAAGTCTACCTGGAGTTCCCCAGCTCTCCCAGGCCCACACCGCTTGCCTCAGCTGATTAGCTTCCTTAGCTCAGGGCCTGGTACTCAAAGCCTGATTTTCCCCCAAGCAGAGCAATTCAAAACCATCTTAGTCACACAGATAGAAGGTGAAAGTATATTCCAAGCAAACTACTGGACTGAGGTTGAGTTTATCAAACCAATTACACTGAGATGTTATGGGAAGGGGGGGAAATGTAATCACATATGACAGGGATTATCAAAACTGCTTACACAGTAAATCAGGAAACTGATAACAGGCTGACAACGGCATATACCTGATGGAAGAATTTCAGGCTCAGATTCCCAGAGCTTGTAAAACAGAAATAACAACACAGAACAGGCTGTGCTGCCTGCCCGGGCACCTGGATGCCTCTGGATGAAAGGTGGAGGGTGGGGAGGCCTGGTAGGGGTGAAGCAGGGGAGTCACTCCAAAAGGCCAGTCTAGAAGACCTTGTTTTGCAGGAAGCCATTTCTTGTTACACGGTTCAAAAACATCTTAATGGGTCCTGACCTTGGACACCACAGAAATAGAGCACTAAGTCAGGGGAGAGACAGGCAAACCTTCAGGGAGCAGAAAGAGACAGACCCAAGACAAAGTTGTACGTTGCGGTGAGGCCTGCAGACAGCTGCAGCTCCACCAGCCAGCTTCAGTGTCAGCAGACGCTCTGGGGATCAGCCTAGACGGCCATGAGGGCCCTCAGGATGCATGCAAGTACCCCACATGGGAAGATCTCTCTTCTTTGTAGGCCCTACATCTCAGAGAGCTTAGAGGACCATCCAGGGTAGGCGAAGGCCTATACAGTGGGCTCATTTTGTAGCCCAAATAATATAGTAATAAATTAACTTTGGGGAATGCACAGTCACCTCAGGACCCATGGGGGCCCAGGGTAAAGGCAACTGCAAGAGATAACTAATGAATCACTGACAGACAGAACACCAAAATAGAGGCCCTAAAAAAAGCTGCTGACCTGGAAAAGGAAATAAATACCTGTATTTAAAATGAGGGGCCTCTTTCCTCTGTGCATCACTGAATTTTACTTTTCCTTCAAAACGTGGCCCCCCGAAATATCCTAACAAGTTCAGAGGACTCAGGGCACAGGCTTCAACTTTATCAACACCAGCAAAGGGAGTGATTTGCATCAAGTTCAATGCTGTCCTTTTGGCAGTTGTTGCACTTAATTGAGTGAAAAAAGCTGTCAGTCTAAAGCCCCAATCCCAAGGTAAATTCACTCTGAACTAACCATCTGCCAGGGCTTCTCCCAGGGTAGTCAACACTTATCATCCAGAGGACTGGATTCACTTCCTCATAATTAGATCATTCCTGAATTAAATTGACGGTCCCAGGGAAAAAAAATATGCAAAATGTGTTTGGAGACCAGAAACAGAAGCTGACTTGTTTTAACAAATGCAAGAGACTACATATTTTTTCACAGCGATAGGGCGGCACAATAAATGATTTTTCTAAATTAGGCTTCACGACAATTATTATCTTCTGTGCCAACCTCATCATTTATATTCGCCTTTTTGTTTTGAAAGTTGAGGCATTTCTTAGAGGCATCGCCACATACAAACCAAAGGATGGGCAGCCATTGTTTCCAGTCCCAGGTGCCCAACCTGGTCAGACCAGGTCGACCAATCTTATTAAATGTTGTGAATGTCAAAGTCTCTGTGAATTTGTTGGCATATTCATGAACCTGCTGCTTCTCCAAAATAAAGGGAAAGAACAACAGGCAACTTCGCATACCCCACTGCAGTCCCAGTGGGTACAAAGGCTGGGGCTAGGGGAGGCAGCCACTAATAGATAAATCTGGAACCCGACCCCAAAGCAGTGCAATCACGCTGCAAGTAAAAATAGCTGAAGACATGAAACAGCGTGGGGGTGGGATCCTGAAGGTTCTCTGTAAACATGATTTCATTCCTTGCCAGTAATTGGGTGATTTGCCTCCAGTCAGATTCAGTCCCGTGGGTACCTGACTGCACAAGGTTTTTCAAATACTGCACATTAACTCACATTTTTCCAGGAAATATTTTTGAATTATCTAAAATGTTTAGTAATTCTATTGTTCTTCAGAAGTTTGCACAGCACTTGTAATCACTATATTTCTGATGAGACACAGAGACAGAAAGCAGCGAACCTTGTCTCACAGGGCCTCCCTCCTCTAGCCCTGGGCCAGAAAAGATTAAGGTAACTGAGAATAGATTGAAACCAACTCTTTTTTTTTTGCCTGAATATCCAGATAGACATATCAATGCCCACTTTTGATGGGATGTACTGTGAAAGGTAAGATAAAGGAAGATGGACAGCGAGAAAGAACCATCAGGTCCACATAACATCACAGACTAAATAAGGCCTGAGGTATTAATAGCTGCCTGGAGCATTTCATAAAAACACAGGGTTTTTAGGTTCTTTTTGTAGAGATTTAAATTCAGTAGGGCTGGGTCGAGCCTCAGTAATCGATTCTTTCACACAAAATTATCAGAGATTAATACTTTGCGTAAAACACAGAAGCAAAAAGCAAAGAAAAAATTAGGACCAGAAAGTCTTGACCATATGATACAATGATGCCCTGGGGGTGAGACACATAACCCGATATATATATCCCCTGGGGTGAGGGGAAAGGTACTAACATCTTGAGAGGGTCAGGATTGCAATCTCACATCCTTGCTAAACCAGAAGCTAAAATTGAGATCCCTATTAAAATAGAGATCCATAATGGGCCTCCCCTGGTGGCACAGCGGTTGAGCACTGGGTTGCGAGGCTGCCTGCAGCCTCTACAGTGCCAGTTTGATCCCCGGCCACCTGTGAGGGTCCCACAAAAAAAAAAATAAATAAACAAATGAAAATAAAATAGAGATCCATAAAAAGCTGGTTCTTCATGAAAGAAACACTAGAAAAGCTCTACCCCTAGCCCAGACAAGTGAAAAAGGAACATGTCATCTACCTAGACTTCTAGATGGTGGGAGAGAAGGAAATGTCCCCTATAAGAAGTTAAGATTCTAACTAAACCTATGTAATAAGCGAATATATCTAGGTTCTGAATTTACATTACACTCATATTGCAGAATAGAGAGAATTTCACAGACCAAGACACACAGGACTTTAGAGAAAAAAAAATTCTGAGGAAGATGAATCTTCAATCAAGAACTACAATCACCTATGAAAAGATGCACTATACATATGAGAGAAACAGCAAAAGTTAGCACCATGAGAACTTTTCACAATAGAATATGATGGGCGGTTTTATAAAATAATGCTGAAACTATTAACAAGGTTTAAAAATGGGAGAAATAATGAAGTTGTAGAACACTATGGCAAAAAAACAGATTAAAAAAAATTTCTAGAGAGAACAAATATTTGGGAGGGGACTGCCTGGGTGAGCTGTTCTCTGTTCAGCGATATTCTCTGTCTGATCTGAGTGATCAGACCCTGAGTGTCTCTACATGTAAAACCATCACTACATTCATTATTGCATGTATATTAAACCACCATTTTGAAAGTCCAATGGGCAGTTTAAATGGCAAATTACAGAAAAGATTAGTGAACCTGAAGGAAAAACCAAGGGAACTCCCCAGATTGTTGAACAGAAAGGTATGCTGAACAGAGATAAAAGATATGAAGGAGAAGCAAAATAGACAAGACAATGAGATCACTCATACATCCTAAGGAAGTTTCAAAGGGATCCAGAAAAGAGATGATGTCTGGGAATTTTCCAGAATGAAAGGAAAATATGAATTATCAGAATGAATAAGCACACCAAAAACCCCATATACATCCATTATCGTGACCCTGCAGAACACAAAAGAAACTTTTAAAAGCAACCAGGGCAAAAAATTACCTCTAAAGGTGCATTCATGGGACTAACATTAAACTTTTCATCTATACAATCAGTACCTCCTATTGACCAAAGACCACTGCCAAGCTGTTGACAGAGTGTGAATTCTATTTGAAATGATTACAGAGAAAACATAGTTTTCTGTGTTAAATGCATCCTAAATGCTTCTGATCACCAGATTTTTAATGAGCATCTACTACATATCAGCTTGGGCAAGAAATTTCCTCTCCTCTCAAAGGGCTCAAAATTCTGGCATCTGGTTCTAAGTGCTCTAATGGGAAAAACACAGGTGGAAGAAAGCAAAGGAAAGATGTCTAACTCAGAAGAGAGAGGTCAGGAGAGATTCCAAGAAGAAACAAATCTAAGTGAGCTGAGGCCACTCAGGTAAATAGGATTGGCAAGTTAGCACTGTAAAGTCCTTGAGAGTAGAGTCTGTATACTACCATTGTCTGCACACTGTTATATCGCTAGGATTTAGAATAGTACCTGGCCTTCAGAAGGTCCTCTGTAAGTGCTTACTGAATGAATGAGTGAATGAATGAATGAATGAAAAAATCGATGGAGTTGCTGGAACACAACACAATTGTAAGGGAAAGCACATGGAGGTAAAGAAACATAGCATGTTTGACCATCAAAGTTTAGTTTGAGCACAGGGTACATGTATAAGTATGGGGAGGGTGGGATCATGGACAGGACAGGTGAAAGGTGAGGCTGGCAAGCTAGACAGGGGCTGATATAGGTGATACTCAAGGGTTTGGATTTTATTCCAGAGCAATAGGAATTCAATGAAGGGTTTTAAGCAAAGAAGAGCGATATTAGATTTGCATTTACAAAAATCACTTGGGTCCTAGAGTCTGTGTCAGAGAAGTTAGCACTGTTCTATAAAGAGAGAGAGTGCTTCCTTACCAGTAATATGAAGAGCAGATTTCAGGATTCTACCCCAAAAAGTTGGGGAGAGAGTGAGAGGGGGAGGAAGAAGAGGCAGGAGAGAGAGGGAGAAAGGGAGACTGTGCATGAGCAGGTCTAAGAAATAAACTTAAAATCCTGGCTATCCAAATCATACAGTGGGTGTGTTTTCCAATCAGCCCGAGGCTTATGGCAGAGATAAAATAGGAAAGGAATATGTCCCCAGCTCAAGCCGAACATTCTGTTCAGGCTTTTCAATCTTAAATCTTCAATGTGCTGGTAGGCACTGTTGCTGTTCTGTTGTTTGGCCAAACCTTGCCCCAAAATATCAACGTGTCACATGTGGGCCTGGGCAGCACTTGGTAACTTTTATGAAGTTTGAGTTTTCCCCTCTCTTGCAAAAGCAGTGAATCAAAGAAGGGTTCAAGGTAATCATTGGGACGGTGCTGGTATAGACAGCTTCCAGAAAGGGGCAGCTAGCCCACAAGAGTCTGGCTGAGTAAAACCATGCCCCAGTCAATGTCAAGTTCTGCTACTTCTTTATGAGCAGGGCTGCAAAGCACTGGAGTTGCTGGGGAAGTCCTTAAGCTGCCTTGTCCTTGTGTCCCCGGGCCCCTGCCATGTGGTCAACTCCATGTCTTTAATTCAGAGTCCACAGCACACACATCTGCCAGGCTGCAATCACAGGTTGCTCTCAACAATCTGTTAGTTACTTGTCAGAACTGCACACAGGAATTCATCCGGCAACGTTGGAGTTTCACTTTGTCTGGTCAGAAGGAAGTCAGCCAAGACAGTGAGGAACAGAGTTAAATCTCACGGAGTTCTCTGGCACCACCATCTCAGGTCTAGGAAGGGCAACAGGATACCTAAGGAATGAAAGGAAAACCTGCAACCGGAAGGATGAAGCTGCTACAGGAACAGCCAGAGGGCAAGAGAAAGTAGAAAAACAATCTCTAGGGGCGGCTGTGGTCAGCTGACTTAGCTGGCTGCACAGCCCAAGGAGCTCCATTCGCCTTCACTGCAATCTCCTCCCGCCTCTGCAGATGGAGAAGAAATAAACAGAGATGAGAAGGGACCCCAGGGCACCCAGGCTGTTATATCTAGACACATTTCTCACAGCTAGGGGAAGAGGAGGAGGAGCTCCCCATCACAGTCAGGTGGTAAGGTAGCCAGCTCTGATCACCGTCTAAGCAACCCTTCTAAGCCCCAGTCTTCTTGTTTGCAACCCAGGGACCATAATTCTGGCCTGCTAGGGACACAGAGAGGATTTCAAGGACTGAGTTCAGTATTCCCAGTGCCTAGAGCACAGTGAGTGATCAACAAGTAGGCATGCATAACTGTGCCTATCGAACTCCAGGATAACTGCTCTTGTAGACTCACTAAAGATACCAATGGTATTTTATTTCACTTTTGTATCCTCAGTCCCTAGTACAGTGCCTGGTCAGCATAAGAACTGAACACATGGTTGTGGAAGGAAAGAGGGACAAGAGGAAGCAAGGGGCAAGGGAAGGAGGGAAAGAGCCAGGGGCTCTGTCTTTCTTTCTTCTCTTTGGCATCCAGCAATCCTGCCAGAGACCACTGTGAACACCAGCATATTCAGAAATACTGTATGTCATATAGAAAGTACTTATTCCTTGTCTGTTTATTCGTAAAAGTTAAGAGCCTGTGGTATGCAAAGTGCTGAGCTGGGGTCTCTGGAAAACACCCAGGTCACTCCACTGCATCCTCGTCCTCAAGGATCTCACCACTTCCACGGCCTCATATATAAACAATCCTAGCAGCCATCAACTGTGACAACATTATAACAGAAGCCCAAGTGAGCGATCACCAAACTTTCCTCCCATAACCTCACCAACAAACAAAGAGAAAGGGCTTTGTTTTCTAACTGGTTTCTTCCCCACTTAGAAAAGAAATATGTTCCCTCTTTAAAGCTATCAGGGAGAGGGATAAGAACGTGATCTTGGCTGAGTGCAGTCTGCTCACCCTTACTCAGCCCTGGGCAGTCTTCTCTGCCCACAGGTAGCATACTTAAGACTTAGCACAGAGAGGTTCTGAGTTTTGTTAAACATCCTGGTTTAGCTTTCTCTACAATAACCTATGTTATGTATTCACCCAGGGCAAATCTTTCCCAGGACCAAGAGGCACAGGGTGTGACAATCTAAACATCACTTCCACCACTGGGAATAGTAAACAACCTAAGGTCTAAATTCCAAAAGATATTACTGATGCTGTTTATAATTAGTGGGTTAAATAAAACAGAGTCAAGCTGCTGGCTTGCATAGGACTAGCCCTACTGTGCTGTTGGAAGAGTGTGTGTGTGTGTGTGTTTGTGTGTGTGTGTATAGTCACATATATACATGGGCACAAAGGCATGAGGACCACTCCTCTTGTGGGTCCAACCTTCCTGAAAATTTTAGAATACACCATGACAACAAATACATCCTCCAAATGGAGATGAGAAAGGCAAATAAGGTGCCTTTTACCTCCCTCCTATATGACACACTAGTCAAGGAAGGATTCCAGGAAATTGAGTGGACCTGGGAGCAACTGAAGATCAAAACATACTGCAGATTAACCACATTGCCAGAGCTGAACTTGAAGCTGGAGAGCCATTTGTGGAGCACGCAGAATACCGAGTTGCTACTCTCCATGACCTAGGAACTTATCAAATGAAAATGCACATCCCACATTTGCTCCCAACACAAAAGAATGCCAACTATCTCAGACAGTAAAGTTGTCTAGTCTATGGCATCTTTTTAAAGAAATCAACACAAACACTTACTTCAGTCTTCTTATTTTCTCCTACCTCTTTGTGATTCACTGCTGAAAAGCAAAGAGTAGATTTCTCTGCAAGTACTTACTTCCCTTCTGGATTTGTTGTCCATAATCACTCTGATGACTTCCAGGGGAAAATACTGAAAGTGACATTACTGAGTCAGAGTAATAGCCAGTGTTCCTAACTAACTGTTGCTTCCAAGTATTCATCACCCAGTGGGTAAACAAATGTAAAACAACAAGCAGGCTGTCACTGGGGAGAGTTTTGAGATGAGTTCCCTATTAAGGAAACCTCACATTTACATTAATTATAAAACATAGAAGCTAATGTTTTCATATTTACTGATAGTTACTACGTAGTTATTTAATCACATTTTCAATGACCCAGCCAACTCAGCCAACGGACTTGGAAGTTTTTAAGTGGTTTAAAACACAAAACTCCAGCCTTTTCTACAAAGGGAAACCTGAGATAAAGACTACAGTTCTCTAAGAGAGACTCCCAAATGGAGGCAGCTATATCAGGAATCAGTATTTCACAGAAGAGCAAAGCAAGAAAAAGGAAACTTTCAACAGATGAGCAGATAAACAAAAAGTGATATATCCACACAATAGATTATTATTCTGTGATAAAAAGATGGAGGTTTGGATGCTCACTACAACATACATGAATTACAAAAACATTATGCTAAGTCAAAGAAGCTAGGAACAAAAGACCACTGATTGTATGATGCCATTCAAATGAAATGTCCAAAAAAGGCAAATCTCAGAGTCAGAAAGTAGAAGAACAGCTGTCATAGATTGGGATTAGTAATGGTAACAGCAAATGGACAAGAGGGATCTTTTGGGGGTGACAGAACGTTCCATGACTAGATTGTGGTGGTGGTTACATACCTCTATAAATTTACTAAAAATCATTGCATTGTATATTTTGAAGGATGAAATTTTATGACATGTAAATTATGCCTTAATTTTTAATAAAGGTAGAGAGAATAAGGAAAGTGCACTTCCATGGATCCTTACAGAAGTTGGTCTTCATCATGAGGTCACAGAATGACAGAGTTGGCAGGAACATGTGTCTCAGTGAGTCCTGGAGCTATACCTGGAGTTCACCTGAAGAACATAAGGCCTGGGTGGAGGGAGGGTGTGAAAGTCAACTGCACAAAGTCACTTACATAATTAATGCTTGAGCTGAGCTCAGAACCCACACCTCTTAATTACTTGTCCAGCGGACTCTCGCAGTTTTTCTTCATTCTGCTTCATGCAAACTCTCAGGGCATTAACCATACAGAAAATAAAATGTATTCATTCACAGATATACCTGACAGTATATTTTTGGAGTATATGCCATAACAGATAACCCATGATTTAGTTACTCTCTGCCTGTATTAGTGCTTATATTTTATTTTCTTGTCTTTTCAATATTTGCTTTAACTTGAAATCTATGCCTGTGTATAATCTTTAGATTGAAGGGTCTCTCTTGCCCTAAAGAGTCATAATAAGTATTTTTTAAAGATTTATTTATTTATGCATACAAGAACTGGGGTATAGGCCAGAGGTGCGGAGGGTGAGAGGATTCACCAGAGACAGAGCGGAGAACAGAACAGGCAGAATGACTGAAATACACTGCTGAGGGGAGCAGCAGGTGAGAGAGGAGAGGTCTGCTGCACCATGTGGGTTGCTCCCTGATTGGGGATCAAACTGGTGCTGCAGTGGCTGGGGTCAGCTTCATAGGCTGCATCTCAACCTCTTGCGCCACCAGGGAGGCCCATAATAAGTTTGTTTTTTTATTTTAAAGATTAATTAATTTATTTATACAAGCACTGGGTACAGTCAGAAGCGCGGGAGAGTGAGAGAATTCACCAGAGCCAGAGCGGGGAACAGAACAGGCAGACCGACGAAGTACACTGCTGAGGGGAGCAGCGGGCAACAGGCGAGATATGCACGCCATGTGGGACCCTTGCCCATTGGCCAGGATCGAACTGGCGCTGCAGAGGCGGCAGGCAGCTTCGCAACCCAGCGCTCAACCGCTGCGCCACTGGGGAGGCCCCCATAATAAGTTTTTAAGAAGCTGAATCAACTCTAAAAGACTTGCTGCCCCAGTACAACCAAACATTCTAATTCAGCCTAGCCACAGGGGCTTGTCTTTCTAATAGAAATGTAAAATAGATCTTTATTTGCCACGAAATTAAAATGTGATCCAATTATGCAGAATATCAAGGAACTTGTTTTGGAATTACAAAAAAAATCACACTCACTAATTTAAAACAATGACACCATAGCCTTAATAATCTTGAGCATTACTACTGTAGCTTTCAAGAGTACCAAGAGTAGTGGGGCACCTGGGAGGCACAACCATGTCCCCAGTAAAAGACACAAAAAACAGGACTCTGTTTAAACAGACAGTTGAGCAAGTGAGCAAGTTAAGAATTTTAAACATTTTTTTTTTGGAAAATTTTAGACAACTTTTTGACACCCAAACACCTGATGTGATAGTCTAAAGAGGTGAGGTCTCTAGGGGGACAATGAGGTTCCAGATGAGGTCATGAGGGCAGGGTTCGCATGATGGGATTAGTGCCTCACATAGAGGAAGAGACATCAGAATTTTCTCCCTCTACAATTTGAGGAGACAGTAAAAAGATGGTCACCTACAAGTCAAGAAGGGGATCTTCACCACGAACCAAATCTTCCAGCACCTAGTTCTGAACTTGCCACCCTCCAGAACCATGACAAAATAAATGTCTTTGGTTTATGCTACCAGTCTATGGCATTTTATTACTGAAGCCCAAGCTAAGATAACCAAATAGTTAATTAACAGTTTATAGATCTCTGCACAATTCATAATCGTAATCAAGGTTAAGTAGTTATACAACGTCCATTTCTTAGGATCTCGATCAAGGGTTAGTTATTCATGTGCATTAAAATATGTGAGAAAATATTTAGCCTTCCTAAATCTGCATTTTGCAAGGGGCTATTCTTGTAGTGACTTACTTATACATTTATAGCCTATCTCCCAATGCTTTTGCCTTGGCATAAAATGAAAATTAAAATAGAACTGCATATTTAGCTCAACTTCCCTGTCACAGAACCAGTCCTTAACTTTCTAAAATGTATGACTTTAGCCTTAAGATGATGCCTACCTCCAAACCACTTCACTTTTTAGTTGTCTGTATACATAGGGGTCAGTTAGATAGGTACCCCATGATGCTGGGGGTTCCCCAAGAGGCAGGTGCCTCCTGCTCTGGAAACACATGGAAAATAGCGCAGTTAATGGGGAGGCACAGGAGCTTCACTGACCACTGTGTGGAAGCTCAGATTTTAAATGTACTGATGACCTCACATTCAAGAAGGCTCCAAACTGCCGCTAGGGATCAAACTTGTCTAGCCAGTCTTTCTTTTTCTAACAAAGGCCAACTCTTCCCCTATTCCACCTGAATGACCCAGGTGATAGGTAAAATGGGAAGAAAAATTCCAAAACTGAAGTACCTGAGCAGTGAAGCCTGTCTGAACCCTAACCCAGAAGATCTTTGGTTAAGGAACAAAGATCCTCTTTCAAATGATAGAGGTTTCAGCCCCATATCTATTATAACAGAATAAAAGAAAATAACCTTAAAAGGCTCAGGCTCTAAATGACCACAGGCTAGCTATGCCCAACTTTCTCAAATGACTCGGTTTACCTAATTTGTGGAAGAAAAAGGGAGAACTGAAAATAATAGAGGTATGTGAGATGGGTTAAAGCTATGAAAGTGGTTTACCTTTGAGATATATATATAAATCGAATAAAATGAACTTACTGAAAGCTTAAGCAATAAAGAGGGAAAATTGCACTATTCTAAGATAAAGAGACCGATGATCATAAATATCTGCTCTGACCCATTTCTATTCAGAATCCTTATAGAGAGATGCTCAGCATTTTGCAAGCTGACACACAGCCCAACCTCCCCTTCTTCACCGGAGCCACAGCTCTCTCCCTGCATCTCTGCACAGAAAGGCCGTGACCCTCAGCTTTCATGGCTATTGGGATGGTGGCCAAAGTGGGAGAAGTCAAGCTGGAGAACTCCCCAAGGTGGTTCTCAGGTAACCAGCTGGTTAGATTTCATCTAGTGTGGTTTTAGCTTTGCCTCGCTAGGCAAAGGAGGCACTTGGCCTGGGTTTAGAATGATTTCTGTTTAGGTTTCTTCAGAGCTCGATTCTAAACAGCTCAAAGAAAGACTCTGCTGTCCTGAAGGGCACCTTTCAAGAGAAACAAAAATAGGACGCTCGCTTAACAAAAGGGGACTGTTTGGCCACCAATGTCCTGAACGGGGTCTGACCGTAGAACTGGAAGGGCTTTCTGCAAAGTTAAAAAGGAGAAGAAAACAGCAGCAAGAAAAGAAACATCACAGAATCTCCCACTCCAAACCTTCCTTCCCCCTAAGAAGTGCCAACGGATAAAATATAAAGCCCTTTGAAGAAAACTCCAGCCAGAGCTCAGCTTTCAGATTTCAGAAGACACTGGCATCCCGAAACCTCCCCACCGTCAGATCAAACACACACAAAATAGTTCCCTGATATTTGCCCAGTTTCCCCCATACCATAAAAAAACAGGCTTTCGTTTTAATCTACTTACCACACTGTGGGTGAAGGCCTCTAATTTCACAGCACAGAGATAACACAAATAATTCACATGACATATTAGTGGAATATCTACAGGGAAAGCATTTAATCAGAGCTCACTGAAAAACAATAGGGAGTCGGCTACCACCTCCACAAGCAAAGAGATGGCCCTTCCCACAGGCAAAGTCCCCTCCTGTCACACTAGCTGGAGTTAAAAGCTAAGTTTAGCCTGCTAGTATCCCAGTTGCCTTAAATCAGCAGGTCCCCTTAATTACACGACACTTCTTGAGTCCCTCCATGAGCTGTGACATTACACAGGCTGCTGTGTATGTGAAAACCCATTGAGAAGAGGAGGGCCAAAAATTCACAATGCAGCAATCCTACTCTGATTGTAATCAAAATCATCATCTGCCTGCCAACAGACATTTGTGCATTTCTTTTTCTCGTCCTGGTCAACTTAAAAAAAATCTTCCACTTAGATTCCCATGGTTAGACTCATCCTTTGAAGCTCTCACACCCCTTAAGACCCTCTTTCAACTTTCTCTCCCACGAAGCCTTTCTCCCAGGGCAATGTGGAGGCCTCTCCACAGCTACTATTCATTCCATTTCTCCCAACCTTGAGGTTCTGCCAAGTGTGAGGCAGATTCCCTTTAGAGACAGGATAAATCAATGCTAGGCTGTGTAGAAAGCTTAAAAAAAAGGGGGGGGGGCAGTAATTCTTCAATCATCAATTAGACATGTTGGGAAGGAAACCATCATCAAAGCCAATAAAGCCCAGCAGCAACCTGAGGTAGCAAAGTGTATCAGAACCTCACTCTGGACTTAAAGATGTCCTTGTCTTTTTATGCCTTTTGTAAATGTAGGATCTCCAGGTCTGAATCCAGACTTTTTTAGATACTGTTCTCTGTCCGTTCCCTCTATCTTCTTAACCACACCCATTTGGACCTCAGGCTTATTTTCTCCAGATATCATTTTGAAATCCATGAACATGACCTGGTATAAAAATCTCACCCACTATCCCATCAAAAACTCTTCTCAGAACTAGAGTTCCGTGTCACCAACCCAGCTGCCTGTCCTCAGCTCAGGGTGTGCTTGTTAAAAGGCTGTTTTTCCTAATCCCACAGGCAACATGGTAACATGCGCTCTGCCAGACCCACCTTTCCAGCTGCCCATCACACTTCCCCAACACCTTCAATCCACCCATCCAATATGGAACCCAAGCATTCTCCTGTCTTTTTATCCCACCTTAAACATGTCCCAGCCAACAATTCCGTTCAACTCTGGACCTGAGTTCTTTCATTACTTCCATCATGCACCTCCAGTTCACCTCTTGAGAAATTCTACCTCAGTGTCCACCTCCTTGCCCTGAGGTCCAGGCTTAAGTATCTCCCTAGATGTGTCAGAGAGTTCCTGACTTGCCTCTTTATCTACACCATCAATTTTCCACCCTGAACCTCTACAGAGGACCTTACCAAAAGGAAACCAGAGAACTTGCTCAAAATTTTGCCATAGGAAAAGGTCCAAAGTTCTTAGCCTGGTTCCTGCTTACTTTGTCCAATCTCATCTCCTCGTTCTTATCATCAGACTCCATGTGTGGACCCTGCAACACCTCCTTCACATTAACCTGAGTTTGCCATGAACTTTGACCTCATATATTTTGGCCCAGAAGTTCCTCCTTCTTTTTTTGTCCTGTAAGCAAATCCCTTCCTATTTTACCAAATAAACCCATCTCAGTGAGCTTACCCTAACTCATTAAGTCTTTTTTCCCCTCTTGTGAATATTACATATTTTCTAAGCATCTCTATAGAACTATCCACATTAAAAAAATGGTTAATATGTTTTTCCTGCCTATCAATTACTTTTATTCCACTTTACCCTCATTGACTGATACAGGTTTTGGCACATAGTAAGTGCTCAGTAAATACGCGATGGATCGATGAAAGAGGGCAATATATTCCATCGCTTTAAACCTCTGAAGCTATCAAAGAATATTGGATTTTCTTGTCTCATTCTAGTTTTCCTTCAGCTGACTCATCTTTCACATATTGATTCTAAACTGCACATCACTGGCATCCAGAGGGCATTCACTGAATGCCCATGAAAATTGTAAAGAGATATGGGATAGAAGACTCAAGACAATCTACAATGCTGCCCTCAAGGAACTAAGACCAATCAGAAGATAAACCCAGCTGAAGCAACCAAATGTGAATTCAATCAGGACTATAACTAATGAGCGATAAAACCAGACTATGTTTGCTTCTAAGAAAATAATGGAAAAGACCAATTAATAAAGAGATGTTGTCAAATACCATGGTAATTTTCATTATAACATTTTATTAGGCACAATATCATATTGATATTTTTTCATTGAGGCTTGCAGTAAAATTTCTCCACTAAATACATTCTTCATCCAGATGCCAGGCACTGATGCTATGTACTCTCCCCTCAAATGCTCATGGACTTTAAAGCTAACATGACTGACCTAAGACATTATAGGGATCACACAGATGTTTATGATGCAAATTTGATTTCAACATTTTGGTCCTCAGAGCAAGTATTATATATATGAAATTGAAACATATTCTAAACTACGTAAAATTTTTACTCTTTGAATAAAGTCTTTCTCAGATTCCAGGTTAGCAGGGGATAGTGTTGACAGAGCTGTGGAAGCAAAATCCTGGTGTGGGATAAGTGACAGGTGGAGACTACCAGTAAAATCTTTTCTAAATGGCCACTGCAGGAAAACATGGAGAGAGGGTCTTGACGGCAGCAGGACCAACTGGAGATGGACCAGGTAAGTCTTTAGGAACTCCCTGGAGAAACCATCCTAGAGGTTGGAGACTCATGCAAAAATTACTGCCAATCTACCCCCTAAAGCCAGTCCTCCTGAGGCAAAGGGATAATCACAGGGATCAAGTCATAGTATAGCAGATTCTTGGACTTTTTAATTTACATATCCCATTTGATGCTGCCTTCTCAGATCCTGTTTGTGTTCCAGGGTTAGCTTATGACTTAAGGCATAAAAATATGCCTCTGTGGAAGAAATTGTTTGGCCAATGTCCCTCCTTAGAAGACAAGTGACAAAATAAAATAACTATAATTCCTAGGTCTAGTGCTTCTTTCCAACTTGAGAAATATTGAGGTTCTCAGACATGGAAATGAGGATAAAGGTGGAAACAATACACAAAACCTTGTTTTCAAATCCTGACCGAGAGACTATTATTGATTTGGTATCTGTCCCCAGGCAGGCTAGCCAACATGCTAAAATGCAACCCAAGGCAAGCACTTTAATGTCACATTCATATATGTCTCATCCTCAATCTGCCTGACAGATGCCAGGCACACTATGCATGTGTGTCTGTGTGGATATGTAAATGCACATGTGTATGTGTGTCCATGTATATGTACATACATATACATTCATATTTAGATATATAAGAACTCACTTTTTCACTGAACAGTGGCTTATTTCCATTCACTAACTGTTCAGTATTATAGGAATGGAGCTACTCAGCTACAGTCTGTTTCTCAAAGACCAGCTACTCTAAGTCTGTATGTGTGTGTATCACTCACACTATCACAATACAAATTAGACAAAATAGATGCTTAATGGTGCAATTCACTTTACAATGGCACTATTATTATAGCATTACTCTATTTTCATTACTACTGCATATTAGAATCAGCATCTAACATGTTTGAGTGAAGAAATAAAACCACCTAATCACAGTGCCGATTAATTCTGTAAAAGTCATGTAATATATCAAAATTGAAACATTTTCACAGCATCCCAGAAAATCTGGATTCCATTCTTGGTTCACTTCCTCTAGCTTGCTATGCTTCTACCTCTATGTCTCTTTGACCTATCCTAGTCCAATTACAGCCCAAATCAATAAAAGACCTTTAGCAAGTTTAATTGATTCTCAAAGAAAGGATATTACAAACCATCAGCACACCCTCACGTTGTGCAAACATTATTTCCCTGGGCTTACCCAATACCACTGTGGTACCAATAACTACTTTTTCTCATGCTGCTCTCTCATCAGCTCAAATACTGTAACAGCAGAGCAATTTCAAGCAGGTTGTGAGTCTCCGAGAGTATTGCTTGCAAAGTGCATGTAAATTATTAGATTACATTACAAGTGAAAGACTCAGCAGTGGGTCACCATAGTGGAGCATTAATGTAGAGCAAGTTGAATGGAACTCTTGCGGACAAGCTTCTCCAATGTGATTTTCTTTGGCAGAGAGGAAAAAGTGAGTAAAGCGGAAGGGAGGGCAAAGAATGTTGGGTTGCTGAGGAATGAAGCAGGAGAGAGCACCACAGGAAAGTGGGAATGAAGGATCTCCCCAGGCCTCAATGTCTAGAGAAGGCAGCTACAAGGTAGAAAACAGAGGGAAGGAAACAGGCTGACCTGGCACCTCCTCGAGGTTACTTCGAGGGGTGGGGTATAATCCCAGGGAATCCCAATAAGTGGCTGACAGGGTTGAATTTAAGTGATTTGTCCTCAATTGACAAGACCCGGCCCATGACAGCTGAGCTGAGGATCTAGTCCAGGAAAGGGAGGTTTTAGGACACTGATGCCCTGGGACTCCCTGCTTATTTCAGAGCAACTGATTGGAACCAAAAAAGTTGCAGAGAGCTGAAGATGTGTGAAGACAGAGGAAAGGGAGGCAAGAGGGCCTACTGTTCCTGTCTGTGCCCCATCATCACCACCATCACTGGGGCTATACTCCATACTGCCAGGCATCCTGCCAGGTACCACCCATGCATGTTATCAGGTGTTGCGCTCAGTCAACTAGGAAGTGGCATCATCAGCACCATCGTCAGTTTTTCAGCGACAAAAGCAGCAGACCAAGTGGTTAAAGGACTTACCTAAGGTCCCACAGCTAGCACAGAGCATACCTGGGCCTCTGCCTCACTCCCAGCAGGCTTGTAACAACCGTGCATGCCATCTCCCAACACGTCCAGCCTTGGTCTGAGTTGTTCAAGACTGTAGCAGGCCTGCGCCTGCAATTGAAGAGGACTGGTGGATCCAAGAGACAGAAATGGGAAAACAGGGGCGGGTGGGTGTGAGCCTAAGGCCCAGCTAGAAGTCTAAGTAAGTAGAAGCTGTGCTTGCAGAGTAGGGAAGTGCAGAGCTGGATCTACTTAAAAAAAAAAAAAAAATAGCTCTGCAGGGCAAAGTGAGAAAGATTATCTGCACAGTTAATGAGCACCTACTTTTGGCAAGGTACTGTGCAGGGATAAAAGAATAAACCATAGTACTGGTCTTTTTGGGGAGACTAGGCTTCTACCCAAGAAATATCATTATAAGACAGGGTAAGAGGAACCTGACAAAGGAAGGGGTTACATGTTGATTGAATGAGCAAAGCTCATGTGACTGACTCCTGTAAAAGACAGGTGTGGGAACTGCAATGGGGGCCGGGGGGGGGGGTTCCCTATCTGCAGCTAAAATGACTGTAGGATTTGAATAGCAAATAGAAAAGAGAGATTTGGACAGAAGAGTGGGGACTGGGGAGGGGAGGGAACAGGAAAAGGTACATATAAAGGATACAAGTTGGACAAAATCCAAGTCTGAGACACAAGTAGAGGAGAACCATCAGAAGTGTCTGGTCAAAACCAACCTAGGCTATAGTGAGAGATGCCATCACTAGCATGTAAGATCCAAGAAGGCAGGGATGACTCTCCTGTTCATGCTTTATCCCGACAGATTAGCATCAAGTCTGGTACTTAGATGATGCTCAGTAAATATTTGCTGAATGAAAGAATGCCACCCCCATGCTATTACATAGTTCCAAGCAAAGGGGAATCCCAGAATTTACATTCTAAGCCAGTCTAGGCAGATGCATGTCTAAATGTAATAGGATATGAATGAGCACATGCTAAAAGTGGCATAAAAATGTCATAGGATTGCAAAAAAGTCTTTGAATTATTTTCCCTCCCCCACCTCCTCCCTGAAATCATAATGAGTAACACCTGGAATTCAACATCAGTTACTGTGGAATGAATCCCCCCCACCACCACAGGCCATGGCTCGAAGGAAGGCTGCGTCGACCTCATGCCCAGGACAGTGGCCTGTAAATAAGTCAGGAAACCGGTTTGGTGGCTCGTGACTTATGCTTTGTCTTTAAATAACAGAGCAAAAAGAACAGCCCATCCCAGGTAATGGAGAAATATCTTATGTGAAAAGTTTATTTCAAGAGAGTATGTGGGTGTGTGTACATGTGTATGGCTCACAAGATAGTATGTTTTCCTCCCTGTGGGTCATAGTATAAGCTCGACAGACATTGCCTTAAAAGAGCAGAAATTCCAATATTAGGACATTCTTTTTCATATTCAAAGTTGAGTGGTTCTTGTCTTCCTGGCTGAAAGTGACAGTAAAAGGTACAGTTCTTTGGGTCAGTAAATTTGGCCAGTGCTGAAACATCAAGAAATTCTGTGTAACATACTAAATTCAGACTTAGGTCCTTCAAAGTATCCCAGTTTCACAACACACAAACAATCTTTTTTGAAAATAATTATGATTTATTTTTTTCTAGTTACAAAATAATACATGCACAATGCAGGGAACTCAGAAAATACAAAAAAAAAAAAAAAAAAAGCACAAAGAAAATGAAACTCACAGATAATCCCACCATGCAGAGATGACCACTTTTCCATTTCATCAGTTAGGTATATATGGATCCATGTTAATACACAGACACACAGACACACACACAAACTCTCCCCCCAGGACACATGTTTTTATAAAAATGATGTTCTATGGACACTACTATGAAAGCTATTAATTGATTAAGCAGTCTATCATAAACAAGAAATATTTTTCTACTACGACATGATTTTTACTGGCTTCATAGTATTCCATTCACGGACCTGAGCTTTTCTCTTACAGATGGTATTAAATCCTCTGCCTTGAGGAAAGAGGATGCAGCTGAAAGGCATCCCCCCACACACTACATATAGTTACAACAAGCATAACTCCTCTCTAAAGCATTAAGTAAAAGATGCTCAACTCCACATCCTATATTTTGCTTTACAGTAAATCAGCCCATGAGACACCAGCACTGTCCTTATTGTGCTTTAGAGTGACTTAGTGACATAGAATTCCCACTATGACAAGCTCATTGGCTAAGTTTTCATTAATAAAAATGCCCAGTGGGGATTGACAATGTTCCACTACTTATGCTGGACTAACTTAGATATACATCATACTAGCCTCCAGAGGTTTTCCTGGGGGGTAGGAACTTCATTTTACTGGAACTTCTGAGCATCCTGACACAGCACACAAGTGGAAGGAACATAGGTAGGCAAGTAGGAGACCTGTATTCTAGTCACATCCTAGCTACTTACTAGGAATGGGACCTCAGATACATGATTATATCTCGGTGAGCATCAGTTTAAACAGAGAGCTCAGCCAGATGATTCATGAGGACCCTTCTGGATCTCACGGGCGTTAGTCTAATAAAACATGACCAGGGGCAGCGTGGAGAGCGAGGCCGCATAGCTAACACCCTCCACCCCACTCCCCCAAACAACTGATTACAAAGCGAGCTTTTGAGCTTTCAGGAGACAGGTCAGTGCAGCATCAGTTCTCCCTCTGATTCCCTGCAGGGCCTGGAGAAATGTGCAGACCTCATTGATCTTCAACCTCTATCCTTCACAGTGAATTTTGCATCTTCTGGGTTAATGGCCTGGTCTATTGAAAGTGCCTGGGTTCGTTCTTTCTACATAAACATGCTAAATGCCAGAAATGGTAAAATACAACACTGGCAATTTCACACTTGTCATCAAGTCAAACTAATATGATCACTAAAAGAAGAATCATCTGTGATTATCAAAGTATTTCATTTGCCTTTGCTTTCCCATGCTTCATTACCTGGACAATTGAGAGTTACGGGCAGTTCACCCTCCTAGCTGCCTTGTCCTTTCAGATATATAACGTCTCCGTCACACAAATGTCCCTGGGAAAACAGACTACCTTGTTACCATGCCCTCGTTATCAGCCACTGGCTTTATCATTACACAGTGAAAACGAAAAGCAATGCAGTTTATTTAAGAGTTTATAGACTTGCTAAATATACCCTTCTTTCTTCTGTGATTTGTATGTTGAAAATCCATTAACTTCTACACAGTCACTCCTCCCCGTGACCGGCAGGGATCATATGGGATGCTATGAGCCTCCTTGCTTCTGGAAGGGCAGACTCACATCTGGTTGTCTTTTCTCCGTCTTTGTCCATTTCTTCAGGTTTCTCTAAAACTAATTGGAAGAGTCAATAAACACGCCCGCCAATTCCCTTACCACACTAGGATGCACATCATCCTGCCCTTCAGGCCTGTTCTCGTTTTGTTTTTCCAAGGATTCCCTTACCTGCCTTTGTCAATTGGCATTCTCGACAAGTTCGTCATAACTTCTCAAAGTGTCAACTTTTCCTCTTTTCATTGCCCTTGTTAAAGATAATTTAAAATTAGAAAGTCACATTCCCAGTCATTTCAGAGTCAATGCTAATTTCATTTTCTCTTCCCTCTAGAGATTGCTTGCCTTCATTCACAGCCCCCACTCCCCAGCCCCAAACAGGCATTCTTAATCTCTGTATGTACTATTCCATTCCCTGTTTTGCCATTCTTATCTTTCCCCCAAAATACTTCACCCAGTGAAACACACTTTAGCTTGTGGTTCTCCTTCCTTCACTCCACTTCTCAGAGAAATGTCTGTGTCTGGAGATTGTAAAGTCACCTTCAGGAAAGAGGCATACAGTTGGCTGTCAATTAATCAGGATAAGACAGAAAAAATTACATCGTGTGCAGCTTTGCTTCTCAGTACATGCATTTATGCTTTGGGGATCAAGAGGATTTCTCCCACATAACCTAAAATTCATATTTATGCCTTTTGTTTGGCTATAACTAATTCTCCACCTAGCAGCACAGTTGTTAATAGTCCGGATTATTTAAAACAGTGATTTCCATACCTCATTATAAATTCAAGTGTTGGTCCTTCATTTTTTCCCCCATTCTGTTTCACCTCTATTCTTTGCAACCTGCCTGTTTATCTTTGGTGACATTCCTTGCTTATAAACTAAGTCAAATGATTTTATACTGTAATTTTCAGTCACGCACCTAGTTTGACATACAGATTTTTAAACCAGTTTATTTTTTCCCATTAAATTCAGACCCAGTGTCACCATTCTTGTCACGTATACAATTCCATCAAGTTTCAGAGTGTCATTTATACACAATTTTATTTCTTCTTACTTCTTTCACACACGCCTACCACTTACGTACAGCAACTTCACTACATTCATATTTCATAAACTTCATCAGTATTCAGCCAAATCCTCCCCCGAAGTAAGCTAGGTATTTTTAACAGAGCGCTGCCTCTTTCACAGGCTCAAGGATCCTAATCTCAGTGGCACCCTTCCTGGCACCCCAGAAAAGTTTCACCTCGTATGGTATGTTCACGGACACAGGAACTTTCTGATTATTTCACTGAACTTTCAGAGTTCAAAATCAAATCTCAAATATCCCAAAACACGGAGAGAGATGATTCCAGGCTGAGAGATTGTACATCCCCTACACCATAATCATCCCTAGTCATGTTCTGAACTTCAGAGAACACAGCACAGGTACGGAAGCTCTGTGGGGTCTCTGCAGTTCGCCAGTGCCTTCGTGTGGGAGGGAAATCTGTGCTCTTGGTGGTGAGTAGGTACTGCAGAGGGATCCTCAGCTGCCGACCAGGGCTGTAGTTCCATGGACAAGACAGTCACCTGGAAACCGTCACTGTCAATGTTCCGGGGGATGTGATGGTGACAGTGTGTAATAACGACATATTAGTTAAGACTATAAACATCTGTTAGGAAAAAAGAAATCTGTTCTTTCACCAACGCCAAGGAATTGTTACCTGTAATTCCTCTTAACAATAGCATGTAAAAGCTGGAGGAAAAAGCGAGGCGTTCTAAACCATGAGCTGTGGCACATGTACTCCTCATCATGCCCCAGCCCCCTCTTCTAAGAATTTCTTTGGACAATCTCCTTGATGTCTTTACTCCAAAAGAAAAAAAATAATAGTAACAGTAGTAATAATAATAATAATAGTTGGGCTGTCAAAAAAGAACACCAAGACTCCCCATCTGAATTTTCAGCACTGTGATATCAAATATATCATAAAATAACTGAAGAATATCACTGAGTCCAGTGGGCCAGCCCTGAGAGGGTCAGCCCCTGAGGGTGGGATCCGAAGGATGCTCTGCAGACTGGTCCAGTGAACAAAGGCCTAAGCTTGGAAAGAGACTACTATTCCTGTGGGGGAAAGCCACAAAGTTTTCTTTGTCACCCTTGAGTTTCCTAATTTCCTGAATTTAGAGTCGTCTACCAAAGGTACCCCTTCCACATATCTTAAGGAAGAGGCAAATAAGCAGGCATTTCTATCTACCATCACAGAAGGGAGAAGTTACACGGTGCTTTGGTAACAGGATGTATAACTTATTTGTAAATCTTGAATATCAGAACAAGATTTTACATCCTCTATAACTAGAGAAAGAATTAAGGTTCTTGATTCAGATTAAAATGTTCTTATAAAGTAAAAATCTCAATTAACCGGAATCATCTCATTGAACTGAATCTTCTATTTTGCAACTTAGAGAACAAGGGAGGCAAATAACAAAACATACTAATATCAAGGCTGTAACAAAAAAAGAAAACAATTTCCAAGCTGGGATCAGGACAGATTAAGTCCAACCGCTGACACCATCTTCATTTACAGTTCTACAATGTACAATCAGAATTCATCTTCAGAACAGTGACCCTGTGGCACCATAAAATCCCCAACCCTCAAAGAAAGATTCAATTACATTCTCAATGTTCTGTCTAGAGTAGGAAGGGGGACCAGGACATTTAAAAAATATGCTCAACGAGAAAAAGACAAAATAAAATATTTCTGGTTAACCTAACATTAGCCAGAAAAACCCATTCACCAGTAATGCCTTCGTACTCTTACAGAAAAAAAAAAAAATCATGGTTTACTTCACATAAATCAACAAACACTGATTATCTGGAGAAGTTGTTTCAAGCATTAATTTAAAATGATTCAATTTTATTTTCCTAAACATATAGCTTAGTAAAATGGGTGAAAATTTTAACACTTCATTTTCTAACCAACACTTCCTGCTATGATATATATCCATATACATAACCTTCTTCTAACAGTAGAAAACATCAGAGAAAGAGCAAGACAGACTGCTTCTCAATCCTCAGTAAGGAAGACAATATGAATATTCAGAAAGATAGTCCACATTTTAGGTTAGTGTTCACTTCAGCACCTGAAGACCTTTCAAAACAGACTCCCTTGCCCTGGAAACACGTATCACTAATCTGGGATGAATGAGTCAGGAACAGGCGATATCTACCCCGGATCCATGTACAGTGGCTCATGGAAGACAAAAAAGGTGAGCGGCAGTCTACTTGGCTTTAAGAGAGTCTCATTTTCTCTCTCTCTTTCTCTCTCTCTCTATATATATTATTATTTTGGCTCATGGGGCAGTCACATTACAACTTTCCCCAGACTACTGAAAAGCAGTTATAGATTTTGCTTCCACAGACACAGAAGTATATTTATAAGCTAAGAAGTACAATTCATCAAGTAGATGGGGAAGATACAGGGATGGAGGGAGCCGGGGTGGGGGAGGAGAGCATACTTAAGAGTGACCTATGCTTTTAGAGATGATACCACATGAATAGAAATTTCAGGGAATTCCAATTCAGTCTGTCCTTCCAATATCACACCACAATTTCCTAAAGGCGAAAAATGGGAGAAAAACATGCATTTTAATGGAGAAGAGGCAAGAGTGTAGTTCGAGAGGAAGAGGTCACAGGCTTGTCCCACTGGTATTCCAAAGGTTTGCTTCCACAAGCAATTCAGCTGTCACCAAAAATCCTTGGAATATTTATCTAGAGGTACAAGTATTGCCAAGAAACTTCTCCCACCTCCCTACATTCCACTTAGAAGACTGCTGTGGGAGAAGCAATATATGCTGAGCCCCCACCTCTGCTTCCTTGAAAACACACACTTAAGGGCCTCATCATTAGGGGGCTTCCAAGCAGGCTCCATGTATCAATTCCACAGAGACTTCGTTTAAAGCCAAGGGCTCCTTCTAATGCCAGTAGGTTTTGGAAAATTCCAGCAGGTGACTAACATAAAAAGTGTCTGCTTACAAATGTGTTTAGCCACTCAAGATTCAACTTCTAGATTAATAATTCAATTCTTTTTAAGAAATATGGGGGAAGCAACAGAAAAGGTTATCATAACTATCATCAAATGCATTTTCTAAAATTATTCTATTACATTTTTAAAGGGTATAATTATAAATGTTTTTATGAGCAATTTACTGGAAAATTAAAGTCCCTTAGTTTAAAAAATAATTATTCCATCCCTCTGGCAAAGGATTTTATCCCAGCCAGTAGTTCTCTCAAACTACAGGGCATTATTTGTTCGCTTTGAAAAGCAAGCAGAGTCCACGTAAGAAAGGCTGATCTGAGAATCAGTCTCTAGAAAGGGCACTAAATTGCCCAGCAAGAACACCAAGCAGAAAGTGAATCAGGCAAGACTGAAGCAGGAACTAGAGGCAAAGCACTTTCAAAGTCAAAGACTTACGTGGTTCTAGACGTCCTCAGGGCTACAAATAAACTACAGGGCTTGTTAACTGATTTTAAGTCAATCTAAGCTGAGCTTCCAGGGGGTTCGATCTCAACCCAACTGAGCTTTTTTCAGTGTTAATCCCATCTTTCTGGTTTCGATTTTTCCCTTTGGTTGGCCTGCCCTAAAAGCCTTCAACCTTCAGCACTGGTGTTCCAAACTGACTGTGTGGCACCAGCCCTGTGAGGATAACTTTAGTGAAGTAAAATATGTAAGCTTCTGGCATGCATAGAATAACGAGGTTCTGGAAAAGGGTTTTTAACAACAGTTATGTCACAATGTTCATGGCTCCCTGAAGTCCCTGAAAGCCTTGTTAAATTAAAGATTCGCTGTGGTTTTTTCCGCTTCATTCTTACTTCCCATGTTGCCTCTTGCCTTTCTTTTTTTTCTCTTTCATTGTGCTGTGAAGATGGGACTGAGTGACACTAGACATCATTAATACCACCTAGAAAATGGAACAGTTTCATTAAAACTGCTAACACTCTCTGCCCAGTCTTCAGGCAAAGGGAAGGTTGTCTTTGAGATTATAAAGTCGCACATCTGGTTTTAGAAGCTCTGGCACTAAGGTACTAGCAGGACACAGTCCATTCACACATGCATTCCCAGGAGTATGGAATTCAGCAAGTCTCAAGTCTACCTAAATACTGCCTCATGAGGTCACCTCAATGTCATGAGAATCCAGACCACCGTCTCTGGCCACTTCAAAAAACTGGCTATCTGGAAGCTAACCCTGCTGGCTCTCTGGAAAGCACGTCCCAAATCAAAAAGCTCCCCATTTCACCCCATGCCAAGAACTCCACTCAAGTGTCCTTGGGTTTGAAAATGCTAATTATAAGGTGATGATGTTTGCTTTTCCTTTTGAGTTGTGTGCCTTTATACTTTAAGTATTAAAAAGGCATAATCACCTAGTGTGTAGGTTAATTTCTTTCCGATATTGTAATTTATGCAACATTAATACTGGATGCCAGCTCCAATTTTCTTGCTGCTTACACTCTGGGAGCCGACTTGCATATTCTGCCAACTCCATTACATCATCTGAAAACCCAAACATTTCCCATTTTCAAATCACTCATCTACCAGGCATAGTTACACATTCGTTTTCTCCCTAGCTCACACAAAGATTGGTACCCCTGAGGAGCAGATGCTACATCTGAGGTTAAAGTCTGCAAATGCATATAATTTCTGGAAGCTATTACTACTGCTGTGTTAGCTAAAGGATGCCTCCATCTCTGACCTTCCTTTTTCCATTCAGACTGTTATATAACCTAGTGCCTGCGTGCAGGATGTGAGTTGAGTGTTTGGGCCTCACCTCTTCTCCCTCCCCCATTAAAGCTCCAAAGAGATGGAGGGATAGACAAGAGGTTGGTTCAAAGAAGAATGGGTAGGGGGTGACCCTCTAGGGGGGGCACGGGGATATAGGTCAGCAGGTCAGCTGTGCAAGATGCATCCCAATCCTACTTTGTCCCTTTCCCCCTCTTGCTGAGTCTAGAGGGCTGGTGGGACTGAATGCCCCAGTGGTTATATAATTTGCAAGAACAGCAAGTTACGGATTTGCTAGCTGGTTCTGCAGCCTGCCACCCTGATCTCTCGCAAGAACACCTTCTGGCAAGAATGACACCTGAAGATGCTAATAACACAAGGGAGGAGGGGGTTTTAAAGAAGAGGAGGGTGGCAGCACAAATCAGAAATTAGGAAGGCTTCCTCTATACTATGTGGCCCCCCTTTACCCCGCCCCCCCCAAAAGCCTCAGAAACACATGAAGGGGATTTTCTCCAGTGTTTCTGATTAACCCTGTTACATAACCCGCTTGCATTCCAAATCCACCGTCTCAGGGTCTAAATATACTCTTTGCAGCCAAAAGCTCTCCACACACAAACTCACCGAGCTGGCGGCAGGTCCCGGCCCCCAATCCTGACACCCTTCCTTTTACTCTCGGCCCTCGCTACCCCCTCCCACTCAAACCGAGGTTCCGCGCGTTCACCCTTCGGAAATCGCCTTTAATTAAATGTTTTTCTCGTGTGTCATCCTGATGGCTTTTACTGTACTCGAATTCCGTGAATGGGAAAGCGCCCGGACAGGGGGTGTGGCTAAGGTGGGGGTGGGGGGTGGGGGATACTGTAAAACAGCCGGCATACGATCAGCCATATTCCTACCAACTACAACATCGAGAAAGGAAGGGAACGGTTCCCGGGACACCCCCTCCCCCTTCACCTGTCCGGGTCCTCCCCCATCGGCGCTAGAAGCCCAGTGGCAAAGGAGGGGGGCGCGCTGGGCCAGAGCCCACGCCCGGACTGGAGATCCTGTCTGTCCCCAGCCCAGGGCTAGCGGGAGCCCATTTCCTCCAGAGTGACAGGCGTGATTTATACATTATTTACAACAGTAATTAAAGTCGTAGCTCCCTCCAGTTCTTTGCAAACTCCAGGCGAATATATGTAATCCCCCATCCCAAGAAAAATCCCACATCGGATTCCGACCCCTGAACGAAAGAGGGAGAGTGAGCTTTCCCTCACACTCCACTTCAGGAAAAAGCAAAGAAGGGGCTACGGGGCTCCCCCAACCTCCTGCTGCCCCCCCCCCAGACCAAACTGAAGCATGAAAAAATCGCCCGGGGAGGGGGGCCGCGGCTCGCAGTACCCAACAGCATTCAACTAGCACTGACCATGCCCAGATTCTTGTGGAAATGCTTGAAACCTCAGAGGGGAACGATTCCCAGGGCAGAAATAAGTTTGGGTGCCTTTCCATCTTTCTTTTTCAGCTTGTTTGCTTTACAGACGCTCACTCCGAATGCGCGTGGAGCGCCCCGCAGGACCGCCGCCCTCCGCGCGCTGGTGCGCACACGCCCCCCGCCAGCCCGGGGCGCGGGCTGCGAACCCCGGGTCCGCAAACTTGCACACCTCCCCTCCCCAGCCCGCCAGACAACTTGGCGAGCACCTCGCGCGCCAGCACCGCGCTTCCTCCAGCTCTTCCTCCAAATCCCAAACCCACCGCCGTGCTCCAAAGAAGGTGCCCACGTCGCCCCCAGATCCTGGAGCGCCCCTTTCCCATCCCGGACTTCCCAGGTCTCTCGTTCGCTCCTCCCTCCACCCTCAGCTCCGCCTGGGGCCGAGCACACCCCGCCTGGAGCAGCCCTGGCCGAAACTGTCAAGAGGAGAAAAGGTAAAGGGGGAGGAGGGGAGCCATAAGCAGATTCCCCCCCCCCCCTTCTTAAAAGGACACTGCCGCTTTAAAAGTTTCTTTGCCTGGCCCCCACTCTCCGGGTCTCCGTATTTTGGGGGAGCGCATTGAAATTCGGCTACGCGGTTGGTTTTCCTCCTCTTTTTGCAGAAAAAAATCAAAGCCAGGGGGTGAGCCCGCCGGCTGTCAACCCTCCTGCCGCCTCCCCCGCCCCCCTTTCCTCCCGCAAGCCGAGAACGGGCTGCAAAAGTTTGCAAGATTTCTGGGGGGCGGAGGGGGGAGGGGGAGGGGGTGCTCCGGACTCGGGGAGCCGCGGCGGGCTCGCGCGCGGCCCCGGACCCCGCGCCCCGGGCGCCCGCTCCCGGCCAGCCCCCCGCTCCGCGCCCGGGCGCCCGCCGCCCCCTCCTCAGCCCCTCTCCCAGCCTCCTACCTCTGCTGGCGCTGGAATAGCTCTGTCTGCGCACCGGGGCGGGCGGCTCGCTCTTGCGGGCGGATTCCTGGTTCAGCGGGGTCTCCCTGGAGCCGGCGGCCGCGTCCGCGCCGCTGCTGCCCGGCTCGCTGGCGGCGGGGTCGGGGGCTGCCGGAGCTGACTCCATGTTTTTTCCCAATGTAGAGATCGCTGGAGATGGCGAGCTCCGAGACTCCCTCTATCTTCTGTTTTCAGAGCAACTCTATGGTACCAAAAAAAAAAAAAAAAAAAAAAAGGAGAAGGAGACCGGGGAGAGCAGGAGGGAGAGAGAGCAGGCGGCGGCGGGCGAGCGAGAGCGCGAGGGAGCGCGCGGAGTGTGTCTGGGTGGACGAGTGTGCGCCCGAGAGGGGCTGGGAGGCGGGTCTGGCCACAGGCAGCGCTAGCGAGAGCTTCTCCAGCCGGCCCCCACATCCACATTCCCCACCCTCCAGACCCCAGACCGGGAGCCACAGACTGGCTGCCAATTTTGGGAGGTGGGGAAAAGAGCAGAGGAGGAGGGGAGAGCCTCCGAGGGTGCCTCGTCCTCCTCACTTCCCAGCCCAGGGACAGCAATGAAGATCAGCGAGATGGTTCTGTGCCTACTTCTGAGACTCTCAGGAACAGAATTCGTCCCCAACCCACCGCCAACCTGGGAAGAGAGAATCCGATTATCCATTGGGGGAATCATACAAAGGTAGCTCCTGCCAGCACTGCCCTGGACTGAGAAACTAAAAAGGAATTACACCTAGTGGACACCCCCAGGAAGGAAGGGGAGGGGAGGACGTGGCACTTTTGACTTTGGGATGGGACGTCCGGTGGGTTTCCAGTCTTGATTAGATAGCCACATCTGTGTCGAAAACAGATCGTGTTAGTCTAGAATCGCTAGGAAAGCCAGTATCTGATGTGTTTTCAGCTCCTTTGCTCTTTCCTCCTGGAAGGATCCAGAAACCGTTTTGCAGGGCACTTTGCACTGAAGGAAACTTTTGCCTGTTAGGTTGATGGCTCTCTGAGCTGCGTGAAATATGCCATACTGGCTCGATTTCATGTTTGGCTGCTAATTGTCAATTCCCTATGATGCTTTAGCTATTGAATGTTCCATCTCACCCCCCACCAAAAAAAAAAAAAAAAAACCCAAAACATATATATTGGCAAAGCATTAATAATGTCTGGATGATAAAATTCAGATAATTACCCACCAGTAAAAAGTCACATCATTAAAAGAAAAAAGTCACATCATTGTAGGCATCAGTCTACACCCCTTCTGTTGAAACATGCCCATCACCTAGTAGAAGCTTATTGAAACCCAAGAAAAGTAGGGGGGGGGATTGCATAGTATTACCTTGACCCCAAACTCCAGTATGAAGGAACAATGTAAGTTAAATGGGCAGCAAACACTCAGATGGTAGTAGCCTGACATTTTTAACACACCCCACCTTCCTTTCAGAATGCTTACAAATTTTGCAATAAAAAATATTATTACATACCAGAAGGTGGCATAAATATGTGTCTTTAAGGGGTGGAGTGGGGGAGGGAATTGGGGAACATTTTGCTTTTGCTAACTTACTGTTTGGAAAAATGCTTTTTAAAAATAAAGGGAGGGGGCCTCCGTGGTGGCCCAAGAGGTTAAGTCACAGCACTATGAAGCTATCCACAACCACTGCAGCACAAATTTGATGATGCCTGGCCAGGGAGTTCACCCACATGGCACAGAAGACCTCTTCTGTCTCGCCCACTGCTCACCTCAGCAGTGTATTTCAGTAGATCTGCCTGTTCTGCCCCCCACTCTGTCTCTGGTGAATCCTCTCACTCCCCTCCCCCCATGCCTCTGGCCTGCATCCCAGCTCTTGTAGCTCTTATATGCATAAGTAAATAAATCTTAAAAAAAATAAATAAATAAGGTCTGTGTGTTAATCAGCAGAACCTGTGATCCACTCTTCTGGTTGATGCAAATAAATGTGAATGGTTCTGATACCTTAATGCAGGCTCTGCAAGTATCACTGTCTCTGGCTTTCCCCTCTCTGTTGGCATCTACAGACAATGCCATGATTGTCTCCTTCATCCCAAATCAGATATGTGGGTTTTCCTATACATCAAAGCACAGGTTTCCAGAGCAGCCTTCACACCATTTACAAGTAGTTAGTTAGCCTGTTAACAATACTATTAATACAATTGACCTAGCTAGTCACACTTGACTTTTCTAAGAAAACTAATATATCACAGTGCAGAGTTTAATAAACAGATTCCTCTGGGCAAGAGAGTATCTTAAAATACACCCACTGTCCCATATTTGTTTTTGAATATTAAAAAAAAACATTTCATATGAAATTTCACCAGTAATTCTACTTGGGATGCAAATGGATTAAGAAATACCCTGACTCCTTTTAAGGTATTAGCAGTAACTTGTTAACATGTTTTAGGTAAGTCTATTCCTCTGGCCTTTCAATTGGTTCCTTTGCTTTTCTCCTTTGACTAAGGAGCAAACTGGTTATTTGTTCACCCTGTTAAGACCTTCCTGAAAATGGCCCTGATGACCTTAGTCAATTAAGATAGAGTCTGTATTACCTTTAGCAATAGATTCCAGCTCCAAAAAGCCATTTCTCCTAACTCTCTAAAACAATTACTGCTTCTGCAATTTAAAACAATTGGGAACTCAAGTGCTTTCCCCAAGGGAAAAATAAAAGTGAGTTAGATACATTCCTTGACTGTCAATCATTGTTACTAAAGTGTAAATTACCTGGATTGAGGAAGCATTTGAAAGCTAAAAAGCACAATGATTAGGTTTATATTTCTTTCCTTCCCTCATGCCCCTCCCCTGATTACTAATTAAGGTTTTCCAATTTTCCAAATATTTGGAAAGATGGGAGCCTTCCTTGACTGTGCATTGACAAAGGCAATAATAGTGTTCGCTTAAATATGGTTATTTTACTTTGCACTACTGAGTTCTCTGACAGAAAATAGCTTAGAAAACTTTGCTCTGTAGAAGGATTAACCTAAATACAGTTTTCATCACTCCTCGGTCCTTCCCCAAACTCACCAGGACTCTTCCTACCTCCTTACCTGTCCCAGGCTCCCCTTTGCTGATAACACTTTTTTTTTTTTACTCCAAGGCACTCACCAG